TTGTTTCTTGTTAGAGACCGATCACTTGGAACATTAAGTTTGCAATATTTTTTTAGAAATGAACTAAAATTTACATTTGCTAATTTTGAAAGCGGTATGTTTGCAGACACTAATGCGCGATACAAGTCTTCATTAAAAGTTTCTTGCTCATCTAATTTTTTTAAAGTAGATTGAAAACATTTAGCCATTGAAGTTTGATATTTTCCTCCTATTTTTCCTTTTTTTGCAATGTGTGAAGCAGTTCTCACATGTTAGTCTATCTGAAATTTCTTCTCACATGCTATCTATAAATAAAAATAAAAACCTTTATTTTAACCCAACCTTTAAAATATAAAAATATACAAGGTGTTTTTGGTTAATCAAATAACTGGTTTGGAAAAAAAAACACTCGCTAAGTGTTTTAAATGCAGTATTAATCCACAAATTAGTTTTTGTTACTAACCATTAGTACATCAAATAACTTATTTTAAAATTCAACAAAAGTTTTTTTTTGTTAATTAAATTACAATAAAAATAATTTTGTTTTAGAATAGCTGACTTCATAAAAAAAAGTAAAGGTGAAAATTTTTTTTAAAAACACACCATTGTATTGTACCATGGACAATTTTTTCTCACTAAAGGAAGCTATTTTTCATTTAAAAACAACCTACAAGACTAAATTTCAAGTAAATACGTTTATTGGTTTTAAAGTTATTGTTGTTATTAACTAAAAGAATTTAATTTTTTTTAATTTTAACACCCTGTATCTCGAAAAGTAAATAAGTTTGACCCCTCATTAACTATATCGTTTTGTTCAATTTTTCGAGAAGTATCTATAGTCAAACGTTGTAAGTGTCATTTGGAATCACCCTGTATGTATGAAATATTAGACATTTAATAGAAAATATTAGATACTTACAATTTTGCCACAGACTGAACAGTAGATTTTTCCCATATCCATAGGCAGCTCTTTATAAGGTTTAATCCAAGTTGAAGCACTGGTTGTTTTAGGCATTATAAAATCACAATCTTCCTTTTTGTTACGCACAACGAGTGTTTACGCTTTGAATATCAAAACAAAAATGATTTACAAATCTGAGCATCAAATTAGAAATGTTTAGGTACCCAATTTAATAAACTGGGAGATTTTGGAAAATTCCTAAATTAGAAACAAAACTATTAGCCGTTTACCTGCTGTTAAGATACAATAAATTGTAGATAGATTTGGGGATTAGATCATAAAATGCAAATGAGCGAACCTTTAGCGATTATCCAATAACTAAATGCCTCAGTGATCGAGACTTTCTAAGAATGTTGAGGGCTACTTAAATTGATCTTATTTGAAATTGTAAATATTTTGTACCTGTAGAGATTACGTACTTAGATCATTTCTTGATTAAAATGACTACAAAATTTTATACAAGAATTGAAATAAATTGGTATGTTTAAAAATTTTTAAATTCATTATAAAAATCTGAACTTTTATGCACTTTATGCAAACTTTTATACAAATATGCCAAAATATGAAATATTTGCATAAAATATGCACAATATGCAAAATATGCAATATGCATATTTGCCGAAGTCTACTTATAAGCATTGATATTACAAACATATGAAGGAATTTATTGACTTAACTTTAAACCTAAATGAAAAAACGGGGCTTTACGGGGGGTTTTTCTCATATATTAGGTAAATTTTGATTGGATTTTAAAAAGTGACATACTGTTATAATGCCTGGTAAGTCAGTAATAAACTTATTTTAATTTTAATGTAATACGATTTTTATATGATGACACACACAAACGTTAAGAAATGCACAAATTTAATGAAAACTTTAAAACTTATAAAATATAAAAATCTAACAAAAAATGTGTTTAATAATGTGCTTCCTCCAGCAGAATTAATTACATCTTGACATCACTTTGGCATGCTTAAAATTTAATTATCAATTTTGTTAGGAGCCTTTTCCAATAAGATTGACCGCAACACAAAGAAAAAACTAACAACACATAATGGGAACATTGCAAAGTTTTATGCTTTGTCAAAAATCCACAAACCAACAGTATCGGTTCGTCCCATAGTAGCTTCCATTGGAACTCCCACTGAAAATATCTCAGCTTTTGTTACAGACATACTTAATAATACATATAAAAATGAAATTTAATATTACATTAAAGATTATTTTGAGATGGTAAATAAATATAATGGTTACATACTACCATCAAATTATGTCCTCGTTAGCCTTAACGTTGTATCCTTATTCAGCAACCCTCATCTAGGAATATGTTCGACATCAATAGAGATCAACTGGGACCATATTAAAGGTTCTTGTTTCATATCTTATGACAGATTCATCAGCATAGTCGAATTTCTCTTTAACAACACTTACTTCTCATTTAATGGTAAATTCTATCAACAAACTTTCGGTACCCCTATGGGAGCAAAGATTTCTCCTATCATTGCAGCTTACGTGATGGATTATGTATTAGACTCAGTCAATTCTTTACTATCGATTCAAATTTCATTTATTAAAAAATATGTTGATGATATCATTTTGGCTATAACCAATGACAAGGTAGATGAACTATTCGACACTTTCAATAGTTAGGACCCCCACATCCAGTTCACTATAGAGAGGAAAGACGGTAATTGGTCCGTCCCCTTTCTCAACATATGGATGACCAGGGAAAACAACAACATTAAAATAGATTGGTATCAAAAACCGACCCATTCTAGTAGATACCTTAAATACCACTCTTACCATAATAATTCTACCAAAGTCAACTTAATCAAACAGATGAAAAATAAAGTAATAAAACTATCAGATCCTTCATTTCATACAAAAAACCTACAAATCCTACAGAACTTTTTATTTCAAACGCTTATCCAACACCATTAGTGAATAAGATTTTGTTTAACACTATCCATAAAGAAGATACTTCACCTTCCTTCGCGACTAACGATGCTGATCCTAATGTCTTCTGTGGGAACCCAGTCTCGGATACTCCTATCAACAAATATTTTTCACTACCATATTTCAGAGACGTCATACGGGGTTAACAAGGATTCTGAAAAGTGTTGAAAATAGCTTTGGTAATAATAATAACAACATTTAACTTAATGTGGCTTGTAGATCAGTCCTAACAATAATAATCTTTATTTAAGATAAAAGATAAGACTCCCATAGATAGGCTTAGTAACATTGTCTACAACATTCCATGCCTCTCTTGCAGCAATTCCTACATCGGCCAAACATCTCAATTATTGAAATCACGTATTACACTACAGAACAGTGATTCTCGACTTCAGCCTGACCGCTGTGCATTAGCCAAACATGTCCATTCCACTGGTCATCTCATAGACTATACTAACACTACAATTCTCCACCGTGAGAACAATAAATCTAAAAGAGAGTTCATTGAAACGTCTTATATTTTTCTTAACGATTTCTCCATCAATGTTAAGGGTGTCATTAGAAATCTAAGCGATATATACCACTTCTTACTTAAATAAGATACCAAGAACAATACAACCTCACAGGTAACTAACTTGACTGATATATCCATTAACAACTAACCTACTTTAATAATAAAGATATTGATATAATAATACTTTAATAATAATTTTCATTAACTAAAAAACATAACATTCCCTTGCTTTTCTTAGATACATCTCAATAAGATATTATTATAATAATACATAAACAATATAATATAATTAAAAAAATAATTTCAATTAAGAAAATCTAAAAAAATATCTCCTCAAACTGGGATTTAACTTCATTTGGTTTTACCAATAAACCATAATTTTGTTGAATTTTAAAATAAGTTATATGATGTACTAATGGTTAGTAACAAAAACTAATTTGTGGATTAATACTGCATTTAAAACACTTAGCGAGTGTTTTTTTTTCCAAACCAGTTATTTGATTAACCAAAAACACCTTGTATATTTTTATATTTTAAAGGTTGGGTTAAAATAAAGGTTTTTATTTTTATTTATAGATAGCATGTGAGAAGAAATTTCAGATAGACCAACATGTGAGAACTGCTTCACACATTGCAAAAAAAGGAAAAATAGGAGGAAAATATCAAACTTCAATGGCTAAATGTTTCCAATCTACTTCAAAAAAATAAGATGAGCAAGAAACTTTTAATGAAGACTTATGTCGCGCATTAGTGTCTGCAAACATACCGCTTTCAAAATTAGCAAATGTAAATTTTAGTTCGTTTCTAAAAAAATATTGCAAACTTAATGTTCCAAGTGATCGGTCTCTAACAAGAAATAATGTGAACGGACTATACTCGTCGGTGTTAATTAATATTAAGGAAGAAATTGCAGATAATTATTTTTACATATCTGTAGACGATACCACTGATTCCTCAGGAAAGTATATTGCTCATTTATTGATTGGTGTTTTTAAAGAAGATAACTTACCAAAATCTCATCTTATTTCATGCCAGCAACTTGAGAAAACAAATGCTTTAACAATTTCGCGTTTTATACAAGAAACATTAGCAACTTTTTTTCTCCCGACAACTATTCCTTCTAATAAATTACTGCTTATTTTATCGGATGCTGCTCCTTATATGGTGAAAGCAGGACAAAATTTAAAAATATTTTTCCCACATTTAATACATGTTACTTGTGTAGCGCATGGATTAAACAGAGTTGCAGAGGAAATACGAAAAAAGTTTCCTCTTATAAATTTACATATTATATGTTTCTCACTCTCACTTACGTCAAACGTACTTTTCTCTCTAACATGTTGATTTCCCTATCTCTATAGCGGTAAAAAAAGATGTTAAGTAACAGTTAATCTACTTAGAAGTAACAATTTATGTAAATTTTAAATCTCTTTCACTAAAAAATGTAAATATTGTAGAATTAAGGCTTATTAAAAATAACGAAAAAACAAAAAAAAAGAGAGTTATATAAATAATCTGATCTTTTGAGTTAGATCACCAATGTATATTCATAGAGACCTAATCTAGCAAAATATATTTGTGGTAAATTTCTCACCTTTGTCTCATCAAATTTCGTTCATACGTAAGAACTTTTTCTCTTTCATCCATCAGTTGTTGTTTAATTTCTTCACATTGTTGTTGCATTTTTTTTGCTGACTTTAATTCCATGTCCTCAATTTCCCTTTTATGAACAGTTCTCAAGTCAGATAATTCTTGTTGATACTTTTTTTCAATACTTGCCAATTCTGGTTCCATACTTTTAACAGTCAACTCCTATGTCAAAAAATTTCAATTATTTATAGGTTGAACACACATAAATCATTTAATAGCGCGCTAGGAAGTTTTTTAGAATAAATTTCACAAAAAATATATTTGAGATATAATTGGATATTTGGATAAAATATTTATATTACAAAAAAAATTAAAAAAAGATAAACGCTAGAAATAGATTAAAGAGAATATATATATATATATATATATATATATATATATATATATATATATATATATAAATATATATATATATATATAATTATATATATAATTATATATATATATATATATTATATATTACATAGTTTTGAGTTTCTTGAACCGTACTATATTAGATGTGGAACTAGATTTTATTTTCCATATAAATAAACGTTTCTTCGGGAAACCCTTGCCGGGTTTCTTTGTTCAAATCTTTGTCAAGATTTGAAACGTAAAACGGGACACTGACATTAATAAATTCATTAAGCCAGTAGTAAGACAGCAGTACCGAATAGTTTGTTGTCGCCGCTTAAATCTTGCATACTTCTATGTTATGCTTCGGGTGAATATTTTGAGCGCATTGCTAGAAGAACAGGTACGATGAAAAAAACTAATAGTCGAGGGTAGAGTTGAAAACAAGAGACCTAGGGGAAGATCTCCAAGCCGTTGGGTAGATCAAACAAAAATATTGATTAACCAAGGGTTACATGAAGCCGAACCACTAGCCCAGGACAGTGAAGGATGGAGGAAAATCGTGAAAAGACTATAAAGGTCTGATGGTGTCACCACATCCCAAAAGGGATTAGGACTTAGGAGAAGGAATATTTTTAAGCCATAATACATTCATCCCAGATAATACCTAAACTTGTTTGCATCACTGTAACCATTCCACTTCTTTTTTAATGTTACACAATAGCATTTGGTTTGCTATGAATGTTTTATGGTAACTTGAGTACTAAATGCGCTGTTTGCCCTCCATCTAACAATTTTCTGAATCATTAGTAAGAAGTAATTTTAAAGATTCTGGTTAAGTGATAAGAGATGGTAACACAACTGTTCCTGATGCGCAAGGGACGCGAAACGCTTAATTGTAAAACTTTAATGCCTGACAGTACTAGAATACTGTGTACATTGCATCAATAGCACTTTTAAAATGCCAAGAATAATTAATGTCTGGGGCATTGTTCAATCACAAATTAGTCTAATAATTTTCTGAATCATAAGTAAGAAGTAATTTTAAAGATGCTGGTTAAGTGATAAGAGATGGTAACACAACTTTTCTTGGTGCGCAAGGAACGCGAAACGCTTAATTGTAAAAGTTTAATGCCTGATAGTACTAGAATACTGTGTCCATTGCATCAATAGCCTTTTTAAAATGCCAAGAATAATTAATGTGTGCGGAATTGTTCTATCACAAATTAGTTCAATAATATGTCATCTAATATTATCTTAATTACCTGAATTTTTATAGATTCACCGTTTATAATTGTTAAACATATCGATTAGTAGCTTAATTATAGTTTATTTAACTTTCTGAAAACTATTGCCTAATATTATTGAGGAAATGACTGCGATCATTTCCTCAGTTCAAATTATATTTGCCAGCTTTCAAAAGTTAAAGTTTTTTTGCAAAGGGAAATACACTTATTTAATGTACAACTATAGTGTAATAATTCAGTAGCTGCCAATAAAATTATATTTTACTCCACGACTTCAACATTTTATTTTATCATCGTCGATCGAGGACAAAGGGAATTAGAAATAATTTGAACTATATTCGATTTTGTCTATTGGTCATTCAGCAAAACAACATCAAAAGAGCGTTAATAAGGATTGGAGCTTCGAAGAAGACGACCCTTAACGTCCCGAATAACTGTTACCCAGTTCCGTATAAAATCGACAATCGCATTTGAAGTATTATCATCATCATCACATAGCTCTTTGCGTCCACTGCTGGACATAGGCCTCCCTCATTTTTGTCCATTGTGCTCTATCTTGAGCACTTTTTATCCAATTTCTTGACATTTTCTGGAGATCGTCAGTACAATGAGTAGGAGGTCTTCCTCTATTTCTTTTGTATAACTTATAGCTGTCAATGTCAAAGTTTTGGCACCATAGTTCACCACAGGCAACACACATTGGTCAAATGTTTTACGTTTTAAAGAAATTGGTATATCGCTTTTAAAGACGTCTTTGAGTTTTCCATCGGCTGCTCATGCTCGGTTTATTTATCTTCGTAGTTCGCATGTTTTATTGTCTCTGGTGATCTTTATTTCGTGTCCAAGATATATGTATTTTTCCACCAGCTATACTTTGTTGTCTCCAATATTGATATTTTTGCTAGGTACCAGGTTTCTCATGAATTTTGTTTTGGAGTGGATGTTTATTTTAAGCCCCACACTGGTATACACTAACTGAAGTTCATGTAGCATTCTACATATCGCACCCTCAGTGCAAGACTGCAGTAACTCAAAATTTTATAAAAATGAAGTAATCATGGAATTAGATTGTAAACATGCATATCTATCCTCTGTAAAACTTTAGTAATTTTCACATGCTTAACCGGCTAAATATTACAACAACAACAGTTTAACTATTTTGCGTTTTTGTACATAAGTTCCGTGCAAAACTGTTGTAACTCTCATGTAACAGAGCTACAACAGTTTTGCACGGAACATTGCAATGGTTTCGATAACAAGTAATAAAAACACGAAAAAAGTGAGATCTGTGTCATATTTGTTATTTTAATATGTATATCTGTGGTGTTTAATATTAATATACAGTGTGTCTACGTAATCCATAGCAACGACATGCAGAGTAAGTTGAATTTAAATTAATTGTTGTAATATAATCTATTTATCCACTCTTGTTTTCAAATTCAATGGTGAGAATTTCTACGACTAGTGTAAACTGAACGAAATAGGAGCGTTCAAAAAAATACTTCTGATTTAAGCGAAATGATTAAAAGTACATAGACACAATGTATTAGAGAAACAATAATACTAAAGTTTATTTATCAAAATAATTTTATATTTGAAACCGCACGATAACAATATTACTACTTATTTACAGAGATTGTTTCAACTTCTTATTTTTCTTCTTCTTTCGGTGTAGCCATGTCTGCCTGTTTTTTCAATGCGTGGTCATTGTATTCTATTCTTTTGTTTCTTACCCAATTATTGTTTGTTTTAACTTTTAGATCGTTTTTATTTTCAGATGCTATCAATGGTACGTCATTAACTGCTATCGGTGATCAAGTTTAAATTTTAACGAACGTTGAAATACCGAGAGAGGACTTAGAGAGAGATCTCCCAGAACCAATTCCAACTTATGACGCTACATTAATGGAAACACCAAACGAAGCTACTGAAGATATGGAAGAGGACATTTTGACCAGTGAAATAGGGATTCAACAGAGATACAATGGTGCTGACAATGTTGTAGACGGGGAACAGGTTGATGCAGAAAACGACTTTTCTAATGATGATTCTATGCAAGATCTCCCATATCTCCCAGAACAAATTCCAACCTATGACGCTGCATTAATGGAAACACCAATCGAAGCTACTGAAGATAGTGACAGTGAAAGTGACAGTTACAGTGTATATTGTGCGAGAAAACGAAGTGCAAATCCTGAAGAATGGAGACGAAATAAGGTCAAGAAACTTCGCAACTCTGGTAAGTCCTACAAGTCAAATAAAGGTACAATCATGCACGCTCGACAGATGAAAGAAGCTTGTTCTCAAACTTGTCGTTTAAAATGTTTTGAAAATACTGTGGATATAAGAACGCATATTCATCGAAAATTTTGGGACCTGGGTAACATAAACTTACAAAGAGACTTTATATCACGACACACCAATGAAGTTAGACCTAAGTATCAAAATAAAACACCTGGAAGCAATCGCAAACATAACTTGCAATATAAATTTCGGATTAATAACAAGGACACTTAAGTATGCAAGACGTTTTTTCTCAATACTTTGGGAGTGAGTGATCGATACATTTACACCACATGGAAGAAAACTGATGATGCTGGTATCCTCGAAGATGATCGAAGAGGGAAGCATGTGGCTTATAAAAAATCTGATAAAGTTGCCTTGGAAAAAATACGTCAGCACATAAAGATGTTCCCGACCATCGAAAGTCACTATTTAAGTTCTCAAACTAGTAGAGTTTTTATTGATGGTATAGCTTATGGTGGTATGGTATTATTGATGGTTATAGCTTAACCATATCCGAAATGTATAGACTATACAAAGATAAGTGTATTTCAGACGGCGATATTTGTCTTAAGAAACATCACTATGAACGCATATTTAATTATGAATTTAACATTGGATTCTTTTCTCCTAAAAAAGATCAATGTTCAGAGTGTGAAGTGTATAAAAACTCTAGTGAAGAGCAGCGAAAATCATTGCAGGACAACTACGACTTGCATATTAAAAACAAAAATCAAGCACGCGAATCAAAGAAACAAGATCTAGAATTAGCTAATGATGTAAATCAATATTCCGTTTGCGATTACGATCTTCAAGCTGTATTACAGACGCCATGCGGAGATGTATCAATGTTTTATTATAAGCGACGTTTAAATGTGTATAATTTCACATTATTTGATAACGTATCCAAACAAGGATACTGCTTTATGTGGAATGAGTCTGTAGCGAAACGAGGAAGTAATGAAATTGCAAGTTGTGTCTATTATTACATGACAAATCATGCAATAAGCAAAAGTTTATTTTTTTTAGCGACAGCTGTGCCGGGCAGAACAAAAATAAATTTATCGCCTCTATGTATTTATATGTTGTTACTAATGTGAGCCATATAGAATAGATTACCCACAAGTTTTTAATAACAGGTCACACACAAAACGCTGGTGACAACATGCACTCATTAATAGAGCGACAAAAAAAAGAGTGCTGAAGAGCGGTCCAATTTATATTCCTACTGAATGGGCAACTGTAGTGAAATGTAGCAAAAAAAGTGGTTCACCCTACATA